TGCATTGGTGTGGGATTTATACAATTCCCAAATTGACGCCTCACAGAGCCAAAGAAATATGCCAAACAATACTGATTTAGTTGCAGCAACCTTTTAGTGAAAATTGTAAACAAATTGTATTCTGTGAAAACTATTAAAAATAATAAGCAAAATGTTTATGTTCCTGAAGTTGTTTTTTATTTTTTTGTGAGTGATTTAAGAATATTAAGAGTGAATTAAAAATTTTGCAATTCAAAAATATTGTGGATAACAATATCTTTGTTAGACTTGAGGATTTAATAAACGCAGTTTAAAACGTCAAAATTGAATAAAAATGTTTTGCTTAATTTACAAGAAAGAAAAAAATGGCCAATGTCACTAGTCGTACATACCAACCATTTTTATTTTTGTGTATAATTATTAGTATTATACGAATGCTACGAAATATTTGAATCTTCGTGTTTCCCGGGAACGGGCTCCCAAGGTCACACCCGTTCCGTAAATTTTGCTGAAGTTTCGTTACTGATCTACTGTGCACAAGATCTGGTCGTACAGTCAGATTTCCATCCAAATATTGCACATAATTCGTTCAATCCTCTCGGCTCTCACTAGGAATGGGGTGATGTAGCGGACCTTTCCCGCCAATATTTGAATCGGCCAGAGAAGCGAACATGAAGGATGGAAGGCGGGGGAAAGCTCGCGCTCCTTCTTCGGTTTCGCGCGATCGTAGAGTGAGGAGCTCCACGTGAAAAAACCTTCTGTAAAAAGTGAAATAAATTACATGGTCGTTGATCCGTCTTTTACTGCCCCGTCTACTCAACAACGCAGAAAAAGGTGGCCGCCTGCACTAAGCGAGCCACAGATATTAATAATACGCAACAATAATCCTATTATAGCAAATTAATTTTATTGACTTCTGTTGGTTGCCAGTATTTTCGGTAGATTCAAACGGAAGTATTTACGATACAAAAATTTTGCACACGCCTCAGAAAATGGTGGTGATGTTCAGCTACCTTTTATTGCACATCAAGGTTTCGGTGCGAAACCATGTTTTTGGGCTAGTACTCCCTCCATTACACTCTCGCCTACCTGTACTGAATGACAAAATAACCTTAAAAATTGTTAATATATTTGTTCTAGGTACAGAAAACCCTGAGTATACCGATGGCATTGAAAACACCAACTACAAAGGAGGTATTATAAGTTAACGATAACGTTTAATCTTTTTATATGTAATCACCCATATTCTCAGTAGTAAGGCCAGCAGTGTTAATTCCCAAAAAGAATCTACCATTCAAAGCAAAAGACAACCAATTAGTTGTAACCCCACAAGGAAAGGGGTCTTCTAAAAAAAGACATGTTAGAATTAAAAAGACCTGGACTAAAAATGAGAAAGAAATTATGTTGAAATAATTTGCGAATTACATCGATCCACATAAACCATATACCCCAATGAGCGTGATTGAAAAAGTTAAAAAGAAATACCATAACATATTTAAAGACCGTGCTGTATCTGGTATGTATATGCGGGTGGATATAAGGCGAAAAGCGCCGTAGTAAAGCAAACCACTAAACCAGGCATATGCTTTGATGTTAAGTAACTATAAACTGCATGAACTGAAGAAACTTATTAATCATCATTTTTCAGCTAAACAGACGTGAAATGATGCTTTTGTTTTTCTGTCAGTTTCGAACATGAATAAAATTTACTATATTTTATTTCTTCTAGTGTGTAGTATGACTCATCGATGACAGCGGTCGGCGCTCGCTAGAGAAAGGCCAGGAAGCGGAAGTCGCGATGGATTCCAGAAAGACCTGGATCACGAAACTTCTAGAAGGAGAGTCTGGCTTTAAATAGAGGCCACCGGCGGGAACGATTATTATTCAGTCAAGAGGCCAAGTGCAGCGAGTGAGCGAATTCGTCCAAGTTGCACCACGAAATTATTCTGTACATAATCGCTGTAATAGTTAGCCGTGTAATTCGGGTTATTAAGAAATAAATTGTTGAGTTTTACCCACGCCGATTTTATTCACCGATCAACGTAACACTGGTGGCGCAAGTGAGATTTGAGATTAATGATTGGTTTTACGACGACGTCCGGGCAGATCTGAGAAGAACTCGGAGGAATTTATGCCTATCGAGACTAGAGCTCAAGCCGCGAAAATGGAGGAAAAGATCATGGCTATACTTGCAAAAATCGATGAGAAAATGGGCGCAATAATGAAAAAAATGAACGAAAACATGAACGCAAGAAACAAGGAAATGGACGAAAAAATGGAAAGAATGGCCGCGAGCATGGAAGAAATGAACCAAAAAATAGACGCAAAAGATAAAAAAATGAATGCAATAATAGAATAAGTGAACGGAAAAATGGAAATAATGGGCGTGAAAATAAATAAGCAAATCAGCCTAACCGAAAAATGAAAACAAGAATGAAATGCAAGAAATTAAACAACAAATGAAAGCTATGGAAAATATTGGACGAAATATGACCTCAATGGAGCATCAGTTAAAACATGAGTTACAAAAATCAGTGGAATGTGTGGAAGATCGAATGAAATCTATAGAAGATCGGATGGAAGGTAACATGCAGAAATTCGAAAAAATAATAAAATATGTAGCGACAGCAAATCTCTGAGAAGAAGAGCAAAAAGCGACAACATTGGTAATAGCTTTGCAAGGCGCAGCCCTAGAGATACTTCAACTCTATTCTATCTATAGAAACAGATATAGTGCCCTGACTGCCGCTCTGGAACTTCTATTTGGGGATGAACATTTGAAACAAGTTTTGCAACGCAAGTAAAAATAAGAATCCAGAAAGTTGGAGAATCTCTTCAAGAATTTGAAGCAGACGTTAAGAGACTGGTACGTCTTGCATACTCCGACGTACCACCATCTTTTCAAGACAGGCTTGCGATAGAAATGGCATTCGCCACAGTGAAGTCGTGAGGATCCTACAAGTATCGAGGTATCAAACATCATCTGATGCCCTGATTCGCGCACTGGAAGTGGAGGCGGCGTACAATTCTTCAAGGAGGTGCTACAAAGCTAGAGTTGCAGAATTAGAGACGGGAGAAAACGAAAAATTAGAAAAACTGTTAGAAAAATTCTCACCGCAAATAATAAATGGCCTAGCTCAAGGAAGAGGCATCGGTGCGCCTCCTACGAAAAGCATGGAGTGTTATAGATGTGGGCGCCAGGGACATCTCAAACGCGATTGTTGTGTTCGATCACCAACTCCAAGGAGAAGCACACAACACAGATCTCCTCAACAAAATATGCAGGAAAACTAAAAACAGCTAGCACTTTGGGGGATGTGCTGGCTGGTAAGAATAAAGCCCCTAGGGACGTGATAATAGGCAGTTTCACCAAAGGCATTAGTCTAACTATACCGCAGATGATCAATGGGAATACGTGGCAATCATAATCGATACTAGAACTGAAGTCTCAATCCTACGTGGAGGACTTTTTAGAACTAAAGATCTAACGACTATTCCCGAAACAATCAGACTGAAGACTGTGACTGAAGAGTCGACAGGAATCATAGGTGAAGCAGAGGTAGACATCTGCATTCGTCAGCAGAAGAAAAAGCATGGAAGAATGGGAATGGATTTCATTAGTTGCTATGGATTGACGATCGATCCAGTGATCCAGTGAAGAAAGTCGTGCGTCTTGACAATGAAGAGTTAATCCTGAATCAGCGCAATATTGAATCCAATCCTGTAAGACTGATCGCGTGCCAGAAAGGGATAGTCAGAGGTAATGCAGAAACGATTGTTCCAGTTAGAGCAGAAATCAAACTCGGATTTGCCCTCGGCGTTATTCAAGCACCGCACACCCCCAATAAGAACCTCATGAGTGCTTTAGGTAATACCGGAGGATTCACATCATCCATCCTTGATAATAAGTTTAATAGGGAACAGACCTCAGGATTCTTCGTTTTCAGAAGAGAACAATTCATTTGAATATAATTTTTACAAAGCCAATCTCGAGAAACTGTATTTGTCCATAGCTCGCACAAATTGGTCAGATGTACTAAATTGCGAAAATATTAATTTGGCATGTCAAGTTTTCTGTGAGAAACTTTATCAGCTGTTCAGGAAGTTTGTGCCTGCGCGTAAGAGAGGCGATAGTGAAAATGTTTTTCTAGCGTGGTTTACACATTCGACTATCAAAAAAGTGAAACAGAAAAATGTGCATTGGAATAAGTACAGAGAAACTAAGTCATTATACCACCTGGATATGGTTAAAATGCTGAAAAGAGAAATAAGACAGGACACTAAATTGGAATATAAAACGTTCATTCGCAAGACAGAAAATATGCTACAGCAAGACTCAAAAAAATTCTGGTCGTTTGTCAATCAGAAGAGGAAAACTACAAGTATACCAGGGGGTCTACTCTCGACTTGGGTGACATTTGTCACTGATCACAAAACTCATCATTTTCAAAGTCACTCATTTCCTTAATTGACGTACTCTCGACAATCGGTGAGATGACAAAATGCACTGACGCTTTTTCTCACCGAAACGATATGGCAACTGTGCAACAACTGTCAAATTAATTTGACAAGTTCTCATTTAAGTTTAAATACCCAAGCATAAACTGAAAAATGAAAGTGAGTGAAGACCAAAAAAGCTGTTTAATCGAGTTTATGCAGCGTAATGCCAAATTGCTGTCGGGAAAATTTTCCTCTGAATTCACAAAAGTGGACGCACGGAATTTGTGGATGAAATTGGCAGAGGAATTAAACAGCTTGTCGGGTCCAGGACGTGACTGGAAATCTTGGCGAAAGGTGTGAATAACACTAAAACAAAATATTGGTTGGAATATTTTATTTGTATTTTAGACGTGGCAAGATCTGCGCATGCGGACGAAACAAAAAGCTGCAAAAAATTTAAAAGAAACAAAAAAAACTGGGGGCGGTACTGCAGATATCCAACCGTTAAATCGTTTGGAAAAAGATATTGCCACTTTAATATCACCCATGGCCATCAGGGGCCTTAATGTGCCACAGCCAGTAGTGACGTGGGGGTCGACAGAGACACCGTCTCACGAAATTTCAAGTAATGAGCCTTCAACATCTGCTGATGTACGTTTTCACGTATCGCCACCAATTAGCCCTTCGTCTGTTAATAGTTGTGATGGCTTTAGAACAGAAAATTCCTACTCGCCTCCTACTAGCCATCGCAAATTGCCCTCGAAGTCCCAAACAGCACCAACACCGGTGACTAATGTCCCTGTTGTTTCTAAAAGGCAGAAACGTTTACGGGCAAACCACGACGAGTATGCTAGCTATCTCAAAAAAAAGCTTGAAATTAAAGAAGGTTATTATTAAGAAAAGTTGGAGGTTTTAAGAAACCAATCAAAGGAGGTACAAAGTATCGCTGCAGCACTGAATAATATTGCAAATGCATTACTTACTTTGAAACCGTAATTTTTGTTTACTTGTTGAAGAATAGAATTTTGTTGTTATTATCAATAATAATTTGAAAATTAAGTATAATGAATTAGTTTTTGGGGTTTATTGAAATCTAGCTCGAATCAAACGAGCACGGGTATTCCTTCCCGCCACTAATTCTGGATTAATGCGTCCTTGTGCTCTTTCGTTTTCTTCCAATGGTGGAGCTTGAATTAAACCTAAACAAATTCTTGTTAGTTCCCACTGATCAACGAATATTCCCTGCTTCACCGTCATTCACATCTATTACTTCTTCATCCTCGGGTACAGGCATGTGGTGGTCTGTGCACAAATTGTGAAGAACAGCACATGCGTTTATTATTTTACACGCCATTTCTGGCTTGTAGTGCAGCACTCGATCTTTAAGGCAACATCTAAATCTGGCCTTCAGTATCCCATTACATCTTTCAATTATACTCCTAACACTTTTGTGAGCCACGTTGTACCTGTATTCAGGTGTATCAGGAGCTGGCTCATAATTAAATGATGTTAGTAACCATGGTCGGAGAGGATAACCTGAATCACCTACAACATAGAATTAAGTACTTTAATTAAAATGGATCATTTTTACTAGCTGAGTTACACACCTAACAAATAATAATTTGATCGTCCCTCACCGTGGATTTGCCTCATCACCCTTTCGACCTCACAATTGGTCCAAATGAAAGAATCATGCGTATTGCCGGCATGAGCTGCTACAATATTCAAAATTTTTGCATTCGAGTCACAAATCTAAAAATATTTCTGAGATGATTTCATTTCTACCATAAAATATTGCTTTACCAATTGTACGTTAATAGAATGGTATCCTTTTCTGTTTACGAAAGCCCTTTCTGGCATTTCAGGATTATTACCAGGGGCGGCTTGTCCTATGAGGCAGGTGAGGCAGTGCCTCACCAATGAATTTTACGCCTTATTAGGATTTTTATTATTTTATACGGACACATTTCGGCCAATAATTTGTGTCTTTTTTCTAAAATTTTAAAAATAAATATAGAAAATTATATTCTTATTTTTATCTCGGTAGGTACTCGTTGCTCCCTTAATTAAACAGCGCGCTTAAACACTCGGCACAACATGTATTTTGTGACGCGAATGAGGCCGACTCGAAGCTTGCCTCTACAGCATATATAGAAATCATGTCGTTAATAGGCAAGCAACCTGCAATACACTTATAAGCGGTATGAGTTGAAAAAAGACAAAATTGAGGCTAGCCTCATTTCCGTGCTTGCAAAAGAGATGGACAACTATATTATTTGCGCGCGGGGAACGTGCGATTGCAATGCAGTCTGCATTCGCAGGAGTATTCAAAATTAGGCCGTTGATTGTTTTGCCACAAATCTGTGTGTGTATAAATTGATTCAAAATTTCGGTAACAGAATTTTGTCTTAAAAGTGCCTACGTTTGCGTGGGTCGCGTTAGTGCTTTGTGCTTGTCATAATTTGATTTCGGTAATCGTTATTTAAGATTACGAGTAAATCGGAATTTTTCTCTACTAACGTTAAATGACAATGGCAGTTCTGTTTTTTCTACTTTCACGTATGATGATAAATTGTATGTAGTTAAGGAATTAAAACCGCCGGTTCCTGATTTGAGTAAATCGTTAATTGATCCATAAAAAAAAAATTTAAAATAAATCCGTATTTATATTTTATATTTTTTTCATTTTGTTTTTTGTTATAAATCAAATTAGCTTTATTTTATGTTGTATTTGATCTTTTTCGATATGTTTCCTTTAAAGTTTATTTTAATTTTGTTTTTTGTTAGAAGTTATATTAGTTTTTTCTGACCACGCTTCCCTTTCCTTTTGTCCTGTCATTCTCATCCTTTCCTTGCAAGACCTCCTTACACCTTCACGTTGGTTCTTTGTGGACAGTTAAATGAGTTTACAAATTTGTTTATTTGACTAAATAGAAAATATTTAAGTAAACTTGATTTATTTATATTTTAGAGCGTTTTGTGCTGTGCCTCATCAATTTTTCAAGTCATGAGCCGCCCCTGATTATTACCTGGAGGAGGTACTATTGCAACGTGAGTGCAATCTATGCATCCTACCACTCCAGGAAAACCAAATTTTTCGTAAAATCTATAGGAATGCCGGTAATGGGTTGGTTGGGAAGAAATATTACCTACTACAATACTTTCGTCTGCAACTATTCAATTCTTGAATATCTTGAGGAAATTTGATAAATCTATTCAGAATCTGTGGTCTGTTCAAAGCATCTGTAACTTCTTTTATAGAACGACTGACGCTTTGTTGAGATATCGTCACCTTAGAACTGGTTTGCCGCATATCCAGATCGCGTCCGAGGGATTTTCGCCTCTACTGTTTAGTGCAGATTTGCCGCATGTCGCACTTGGGCGAAGCGAAACATGGTTTAGATTCAGTGCTGATTTGCCGCATGTCCAAGCAGAAATCGATAGAGTACCGTTATCCGTTTTTACGTACTTCCTTGTTGTTTTGCTTTTCAGCGTTAGGTTTGGGGTTGGGAAAGAAATCGTATTCAACTTCACGCGCAGAACAATAAGAATAATGTGAAATAAATAAAAAAGAGACTTAACAATTTTGATGAATCTGAAATTAAAAAAAAGCAACTGTAATTTGTGCAACTCTTTTTCTGTTATAGATGTTACAAATATTTTCAAATTATTAGATTCGAAATTTTACAAATTTAAATTTCAAATAGATTTGTTGTTCGATAAACAAATAATTTAATTTTTAACTAAACAGTAATATTTTTCTTTAATTTTTTCTCGGGAATGATTGAACTTATTTTCTCTAAAGTTTTAGTGGACAAGATTTATAACGCTGCATACCAGTAAAAGAGTTCACAATTTTTTGTAGAATTCTTATTTGTAGAAACGATATTTCTACATTAATAATCACAAATAATAGATACATGTTTAATTTTTTAGATTAAAATGTTGTAAAAGTAATATGAAAATTAAAATTTCGAAGCAAAATCTGTTTAGGTGGATTTTGCTTCGAAATTTATTACTGGAACGTTTACAAAAATCAGCTTTTGACATAAAATGCTTGCAAATTTGAAACAGAATTGGAATGTTTCTTGACAATCATGCCTAATACATTTTTGACTTGTATCTTTTAAAAAGAATTATTTCCGAATTTATAGCTATTTACAATTTACGACTTACTTCAAGAATAAATTCCGTATTAGAATTTTACCTATAATAACTAAATAGATGTATGTTGTTAACTTATATAAGGTGCCTTACATCGAAACGAGTAATTTGTTTTTTAATATGACATTGCCTTTCTTTATCATTCTATTTGTCTAACAATTAATGTTGTGCAATTATACGAGTGTAAATAAAAATAACTTTACAATAACTTATTTAAGGGTAAATTTTTTTACCAATTAATTTAAGTGGATGGTTATATGTAATGGTAATAATAGCCGCATAAAATTCACTCACTGTTTAGGTATACCAGATATCAAAAGCTATTAAATCCAAATGTTATTGTTTATTTTTTTATGTCTCGAGCGTAAGCTAAGGAAGTATTGTAATCAAGCTCATCGGGCGACTGGCTACTTTTATGGCTTCTCAACGTTTCATGACTCCTATAATACGAAAACATAGGTCTTTCGTTTCCGGTTGATAAAACGCTGACCAACATTTGTAATCATCCTCCCCATCATATAACGTCATCTCCAACTTTTACAGCAATAAATGTTATATAATTTTTAAAAATAACATACTTTTTCATTTGTTGTTTATTGAGTTTTTACCCTAAGCACCCAGATTGAATTAAATTATCATAACCCTAATTTCTTGAGATTTTGGAACCAGGATATACTACATAAAGAAAGTTAAAAGAATTTGAAGTAATGTAATGATACTCGTTGTGCATCAACATACTATTATTTATCAATTAATTGGGCATCGTCCAAAATACTGTTCATAAATTAAGTGCAGGAAGTTTATGCAAAAGCATGCAAATACATTTTTTGCGGATAATAATATGTATTGCTTTATTATTAAATATCTACTCATTTACAAGAATTATTAAAATTAGTAAAAAAAAGTATTCAAGTCTCTGTCTAGTTTAATACCTTACCTTATTAAAATAATAAGTTTAATCAATTATGTAGTTAGCAAACAATGACGTTTAATTTATACTTAGTAGGGTTCACGGCATTAACTTTTCACATTGCATGTTTAATTCGGAGTTATAATTTGAGAATATAATTTACCCGTTTATTTATTTTTGTAGTTTAGTAGTACTTCAGCAAATTTAGAAAACTGTATGTTATTTAAAAATACGTGACAAATCACGAGGCCAGGCAATCTAGAGATTTGACTGCTGGTTTGCGCGGGAAATACTGCATACTTTTTAGATAAAAGGAGTCTATGATAAGCGCACGTAGGACATGATAGACAGAGAGCTAATATATAGAGCTAATGTATTGGAAAGAAATAGGATAAGTTTACGTGCGCACACCACAGCCTCCCTTTCTTCTCTAAACAGTTTGGGATCATACCATAGTATCATAAATAATAATTGACAAAGAGTTCGCAAAGGAATCCAACGGAAATATTTATACAATTGTTTACAACTACCAGTACGAATAATTCTTTCATTTTCAACTGAAAAGCGTATAACTATATTAAGTACTAGATATTATGGAGTTAGGGGTAATCAAATAGATTTGGGTTGCAGTCAACATAATTGTCACTGATACATAAGACATGGAAACGAATGATTTATTTCCAAATCCAAATATACTGCATTTACAGTTTTAAACAGTATCACTGCTAATTTTCTCTGGTTGCCCGACAATAGCTACCTGTAGTCAATATCCACGTAATGTAATAAAATACTGGAATGTAATTGTTTGAGACAACAACCTATTTTTACCCGAGTGTTCTTTATGACTTTGAATATTTTATATAAAAAAATTATATATTAAGCTGCAATTTTAGTAGGACTGCAGCGAGTCAACGAGCCGCCATTACTCCGCCAACGCAAAGAAAATATCATTTTATTATCCTTTGTAAAAATAATTTCTTTCTGTAAAACACATTTAAATTTGCTACTCCGTATTTCGTTCACAATTCACCATTTAACAATGGAAATTAACAATGCAATATTTGGATTCTACAATTTTTAGGTAAAATGAATGACTGCAATGAGTTTTATCAAATGTAGATTTTATATAAAAATAAAGAAAAATAAGTCTCTTTATTTTAAAAATATTTAGAAAAAATCGAATCAAAACATCAATAACTTAACATTCATTGTTCGTTATACTTAGTTAACTACTTCATCAATTCTAATATCGTTTCAATTTTTCATTTATTTCACATTATTAATCCTTGCCGTATTACTTGTTCTGCGCGTGAAGTTGATTAACAAATCTTAATCTTAATTATCTCTGAAAAATGTATCTATTATTATCTGTAATTATTGATGTGGAAATATCATTTCCACAAATAAGAATACAGGTATGCAGTATTATGAATTTTGTTGACTAAAATTTTAGAGAAAATAAGTTCAATCATTTCCGAGAAATCATTAAATAAAAATGTTACTCTTAAGTAAAAAATTAAATTATTTGTTTACTAGCAACAAATCTATTTGAAATTTAAATTTGTAAAATTTCGAATCTAATAATTTGAAACTCAATCTTTCTTAAAAAAAAAAAAATCGAAAATATTTGTAACATCTATAACAACAGAAAAAGAGTTGCACAAATTACAGTTGCTTTTTTTTAATTTCAGACTCATCAAAATTGTTAAGTCTCTTTTTTATTTATTTCACATTATTCTTATTGTTCTGCGCGTGAAGTTGAATACGATTTCTTTCCCAACCCCAAACCTAACGCTGAAAAGCAAAACAGCAAGGAAGTACGTAAAAACGGATAACGGTACTCTATCGATTTCTGCTTGGACATGCGGCAAATCAGCACTGAATCTAAACCATGTTTCGCTTCGCCCAAGTGCGACATGCGGCAAATCTGCACTAAACAGTAGAGGCGAAAATCCCTCGGACGCGATCTGGATATGCGGCAAACCAGTTCTAAGGTGACGATATGGAGACAAACTTATTGACACCAATATCCGTTTGATAACTCCCTCCGGCATAAAACCGTAAAGCAGCCAACACCTAAAATAATAGTACCATATTTATACTGATTTCATATGAATTTAGATTATATTCTTAGATGTTGTAAATAGTTAAAATTTTTAGTTACACGCGTGTTTATAGCCAAATCTGTACCACGATTTTGAGGACGCATAAATGGAGCAAGTAACCCCACAATAAATCTAAATAAAATTTTTGACACCCTAAAGATTTTAACAAATTGATTTTCCGGTAATGTCTCCAACGGATCAATTGTAACCCGTAAAGCTGGAACAATTGCATTATCTTCTTCAGCATCTTCCAGTTCTTCTAAAATATCGGCCATGTGAAGTTCATCCATTTTATATTGGGTAAATGGTTTTCTAAAAGAAAAAAAATCCATTTAGAAAAATAGAAGAAACATTTGTAAAAAATGTTTATAAATGTGGATACTTTTTATTTGCTGCCGCCTTGAGATGTACTTCTGAAAATGTTTTGATTTACAAGAATACTAAAATTTATAAATTAGAAAATAATTCAATCAAAAAATTTTAGTAAACCTACCTCCCATTTACACTATTAACACATGTATAAAAGCTTTGGTACAAAAGTCACCACTGTTTTTCTGATCGTTGCCACTCACTGATTTGTGAACGGCTTTTATCGTGCGTGACAAATTTCTCACTTGTCAGGAGTACGTCAGTCATAAAAATAAGTCACTTGATGATAGAACTCACACACGTTTTTTCTCACGTATCAAGAGTACGATGTCACTAAAACTCGGTGACATATGTCACGAAGTGACAAAACTCATCGGTGAGTTTTGTCAGGAGTAAGGTCCCAGGTCAAATGTTATGGAAAGACAGCAGGTTAACTTCTCAGCAAGATATCGTTAACGCATTTGCCCTACAATTCGCCAGTGCGTTCAGTAAGTTAAATGGTCATATCTGTGATAACAAATGCTGTGATAATGGCTCAGCTCAGTCTTATGTGAATTTTGTTCCACCGCTTGTTGTCCAACTGTCTGTGATATTGAAGTCTGTGATAAGGATCCTACACTAAGTATGTTTGTAATAGAAGACTGTGATATTTTAACGGCTAGGTACAAAGAAAATGAAAAGCAACAACACCCGTGGTCCTGATGAAGTACCTGAATTTTTATTAACTGATTGTATTATGTCATTTCTAGTTCTACTTCGTCATGTTTTTAATTTAAATTTAAGTACCTTGGTATACCCCGAAACTTGGAAAACATCGTACGTAATTCCTATATTTAAAGCTGGGGATAAGGCAAATGTAAACAACTATACAGCAGTGGGATTATTATCGAATTTTGCAAAACTCTTTGAGTCGATATGTTCTGAAGTCATTTATTCGCATGTAATTTCTAATATAGCGTCAGAGCAACACGGATTCGTTAAAGCGCGGTATACAGCTGCAAACTTGATAATCGACAACAAGTAGACGTCATATACACTGACCTATCTAAACCATTTGATAGAGTCCACCACTGCATATTATTGAAAAAATTAAAAAAAAAAAAAAACGGTTTGTGTGACAAATTAATCGTAATGATGAGGTCTTTATTAACGGGAAGAAAACAGTTTGTTCAACATCGTGGATTTAGGTCTCTAACATACTTAGTAACCAGTGGAGTAGTGCAGGGATCCAATTTAGGACCTTTAATGTTTATCATCTTTTACAAGGATGTGATCAATTCAATTTCTTGTAAGACGTTGTGACGATCTCATTCTCCTGCAAGCTGCGGTGCGCTCAGGTATAACAGGGTGCGGTCAAAGTTCAGAGCAGTAACCGAAGACACTTTCGATTCTCGTCGGCGTATCCACTTCCACCTGTCAAGGTCATTCTTTTTCCCTTCCCGTACACCGAATTGATGACGTTTGTCACGTAGTCCAGTAAAGTTTCCAGGAAAATCCAGAAAACGAGGAGTCATCTCGACTCGGAAACGTGGCTGAACGATAGCTTGGGTTACAGAAAAACCCGTACGTGTTAGTAAGTCGCCAAAGGCCGTTAACACCCAAGGGAATTACCGATCTAATTTCCACGTGACCATGGATGGCCTTAACCGGCGAAATATTATTTCAGGCCTCTTTATTTCCGTTACCTACACCTTTACTACGTTGCTTACATCGTTACTACCCCGTTTTAACATCTTCAACCCTAATCGTTCCTATACCCCAGGGATCTGGTTGAAGATTCTATATAGATCATGTGCCAGGAGGCGGTCAAGGATGCCCCGTCCTAGTTCGTCGCTGGAAGGACGAAGATACCCTCGTCACAAGAAACACCCAGTAAGCCTCTCGAGTGTAATATTTTTATCGTCAACGCCTTAGTTTTTGTGTATACCTGTAGAGAGCTCTCCCCGCTATACGTCGCGTCGGTGAACTTGAACGTAGTACTACACTCTCGAGGGGTTACAACCCCCGTGTACGGCTTATTGACTTAAGTTATAATTTACTGACTGTTCGATCTCTTATCTAGTCTCCTCCTAGTGTAAAGTAGCAGTAATATATATACTCATTTTAATATACCAGCCTACCCATATTATTTCTACCAACGCACCGAGTTAGGAGCTGGTCAGTTATAGGGCCTTGTTAAGTTCTCTCTCTCGTTCGAGCTTTCGAGACTGAGTTATAGGAGTAACCTAGAGTAAAGCTCGTGGCGCCCCTCCATTTATTCGGCAAAGCAACCGGCAGGTAAGTTGACACACGAATCATCCCCCTCTGAAGCCGTCGCCCTGAGCCGACCGACGATCGTACCCCCGGCTCTACCGCTTTGACTGAGCTAGGCGCGACATTGGCGCCCAACGTGCTAATAACAAGTTATAATAATAACGTGATAACAATAGTCAACAGTGCCAAAGTTGTTTTGTCAAATAAGTGAATCATTAGATTTTTTTCTATTGGAGTTTTAGGGGCCAATTCCAAGTTGGCCAGTGGTGCCGGCGCAAGTCACTGGTGCAGCGCAACTTTGTAATGCTAATCTGGGTATCAAATGCTGGTTGCTAGGGGTGAAGGAATAAACAAACGTAGTTGTGTCGAATTGTCCATTGAAATTTGCACCATGGAGTTGCGGCACCTCTAGTAGGCAGTGCAAGTTATCTCGAAAAATTGCGGTGGTCTGTCAAGTTTTAGCGGGTGTTGCTGTTAATTTATTCAAAAATTCGAGTAAAGGTGAGGATAAACGACGAAAAATTACCGAGAGAGCTAAGATGTCGTTGTTGCACCCTCGTTGCATTAATGGAAATTTTGAACTGGATGCGATGTCATTCTTGGATAGATTTAGAGAAGCAATTGTTATGTCATTACTTAGCGCCTGACTATAAAATTCGGTTATTTCATGATATCTTAAACAGAACACAAGGTTTCAATGAATCTTTTACAGATTATAATACAGCAATGACCACTGTGTTTAATCGTTACGGAGATATTTCGGAGGAAGTTCGTTTGTCAATATTAACAAAAAATTTAGCACCATTTTATTTGATGCAAGTACCATCAGTGACAACGTTGCTTGAGTTAGAGAATGAATGTTTAAAATTAGAAGCACGTAAGTTTAGAGCAGATAATTATTGTCCTCCATTAGAGGGAAAGTTCACAACAGTGAACCGGAGTTACTTTACAAAAATAGGGATGTAGCAAGTGGTGATAGCTTAAATTCGGTAGAAGTGTCTTCAGAACCATCAAGACAAAAATCGATTCAATGCTTTAATTGTAAGAAACTATAGGTCACTTTGCGCGAAATTGTCGGAATAAATTTGAAATTCATTGTTTTAAGTGTCAAAAACCAGGCTTTACAGTAAAAACGTGTACAAGTTGTAATAAAGCAGAGAAAAAGGAAAGTCAATTAACTTCGAAGGTAAATCATAGACGTTTGGGAAACGTGCACGAGAATCTGTAGATAGTTGTAATGTAGATTCTCTCACACTTAGCAACCAATACAAAAGTAGTATCTATAAGGGAAAGTCAACAATTAGCAAATAACATCTTAGCTACTCACTATTTAAAACATATTAATCTTGACGAGAGACCGTATTTAAAAGTAAACGTACTAGGACGCACGGTATATGCATTGTTGGATACAGGAGCAACAGATATTTTTATAAGTTCAAGAGAAATGTCATTTTTGTTGCTCAGAGCTTAAAAATCTTGGTTACGTAGTAAATAAGAAAGGATTATGTGTAGATCCAGAGACTTCTTGGTATGGCTTCATGGTACCGACGTTTTATTCCAAATTTCGCTAGTATAACATCTCCATTAACTAATTTAACTCGTAAAAATGAAAAATTTAAATGGACTGAAAATTGTCAGAAAGCTTTTATAGAAATTAAAGAACGATTAATTAGTTCGCCCATTTTAACTTGTCCGGACTATTCAAAACCGTTCATATTACAAACCGATGCTTCTGCGCACGGTATAGCAGGTATCGAGCGAGCAATATAATTTGTAATCGAGTTACATTTGCAAAAAACATTTGAACAAGGTACGTGTGTCTTACCAAATTCTGACGATTAATGATGTCTACAGTTCCGCCGTTTAGCTGCATTAATGGGTTTTGGAAATTTTATTAAAATTAATGCTAAAAATTTTAAATTGTACTGAGTCGTTCAGTTTTGCAATTCTGCAGTTTTTAAAATTCATCCCTATTTTTTACATGATTTGAATATGTATTCGCCTGTGGTATTTGCAGTAAGACCTTGACCGATATTGGATGTAACTTGAACCCAAGGTTAATTTATAAAGGAGAAGGTTGGAGTATAAGCGAGCATTTAGGCAATTCGGTTTACAGGGGTGAGGGGCAGCAAAGCACGTTGTGACGTCAGCGCATCAGCTGTCAGCTGTCGTGTGTCGAACTTGTTGAAGTGTTCGACATTTGACAGGATTATTATAATAAGAGTAATTTAATTATTCATAGAGTTTCTGCTTAGAGTAATTATTAATTATGCCGGGGCACTATTGTGCAGTGCACAGCTGTAATAACAAAAGCAAGGTAAATATTTACAATAATAATTTGCAATACATATAGAAATTGAACTAACTATAAGGAATTAAGGGCATGGATAAAGAAAATTCTGCATCAATCTCATTCCACTTGTTTCCTAAAGACAAGACAGTAAGGGATATTTGGGAAAAATTTTGTCAGCGAAGCAAAAATTGGAAACCAAAATGTTCTTCCACAATTTGTTCAGCACATTTTTCTGCAGATGATTTCTACATAAAATACAAAAAAGAGATGTACAGCCAAATTCCACATAAAATGAGACTGAAACCAGGAGGTGAGTGATAAATTTTATTGAACCTGCCATTTAATAAATTCTAAAAAATTGTAGCAATACCTGAAAAATATATTCTGACTGAAAAGTGTCGTGACAGTACACAAGTTGGCATCTTTGAACAAAATGGTTGTTTGGCAAATGAAGATCAACTTGGTATCTTTGAACAGAATGGTTCAATGGAAGATGAAGATAAAGCTAAGTTGCAAAAAAAGGTAGCAGAATTGGAAGAGAACATTTCACAGTTAAATGGCTCTAATAATAATTTGGTCCAAACTATACAAGAGCAAGACCAATACATTACAAAGCTGGAAAAAAAAATTCTGTGTTGGAAACTGAAATACAGACACGTAAAAGAC